ACGTCCGACTGACCGGCTTCCGACAGCGACCGCAATTTGACTGGCGTGTGCTTCCAGTGCAACACCTTGGCGTCCCAGAGACCTTCTACGAGCACCCGGGCCGAGTGGCCTCATTTTATACCTCTACGGCAGCCAGCCCACGTCCTTCCGCGAAACGGTGACTTCGTGTACCGGGTTGCGCTGAAAGCCGTGGCTGTCCGATCCAGCTTGCACTTTCTCGGCCACGATGCTCGACACTGCCTTCTCTGCGATGTGCAAGCCCATGAAACGTACGATCGTCTTTTGGTGCGGTGCCCATATGAAACTACCGTCGTCGGTCGTTGGCTTTCTATACGACGATAACGCCGCGCCGTACTCGGCCCACGAGTCCTCCATTCGCGCCTCTGGCCGATCTTACGCGCTTGTGTCTGGTATTGTCTTTGGCTCGAACGCAACAACCGTGTCTTCCGCTCGACGCTGACGCAACTTCCCGCTACCGCGCTCGCTATCCGGGCAGCTACTATCGCACGACTGCATGTCCGGCACTTGGCTCGTCGCGCTGTGGTGCCATCTCTTGGTCGCTCTCCGCGACGACCCTCGGTGTGCACGCTACCTGGTCCCTCGCACAATCTCGAATCACGACCACTAACGCTCCTCGCTGACGCACCGGCCACGCCTCACGAGCGCATTAGAAAGTCCACCATATCTTTATAATTGCAGGTAACTCAGTTCAACAACAACGCCCCTTCGTCGTGTACCGGTATGCATAGCTGGCAAGTGCTCCTGCTGCTTTCGGTTTTTACGAGAAGCGACGTAAGCATGTTTGCCGAAATAGCATCCCACAGTCTCATGCTATTTCAGTACCAGTGGAGTAGCTAGCGTCGTGGTGCTCCACGCTTTCTATTAATAAATTTAGTTTGTTTAATGTGGCGACTGTCGGCAAGGTTATTGGTGCACGTACTGAGATTTACCTGTATACGAGCTCGGCTTTCAGCGCGGCCCGGTACACGAAGTCACCGTATCGCGGAAGGACGTGGGCTGGCAGCCGTAGAGGTATAAATGAGGCCACTCGGCCCGGGTGCTCGTAGAAGGTCTCTGGGACGCCAAGGTGTTGCACTGGAAGCACACGCCAGTCAAATTGCGGTCGCTGTCGGAAGCCGGTCGGGAATGCGCCATTTATGTGGTAAAGTGGCAATTTATGGCGCAGCCGCATAAGAAAAGAGAGGGAAAAGATCCTGGATCCTATTTTATCATCGTTTTATTCCGGTGCGAGTGTGCGAAGCGGCAAGTGGCAATCCACCGACACCGTCGTCAGGTGAGCTGATTACGCAATCCTACCACTGGGCGCCATAAGTAGACCGCCCAATCACCTCCCTGGATTCTACCTGCCGTCCAATGAGAATGCAGCGACCGCTACCTCGGGGCGCGTTGTAATTGGACAAAAAGGGTCGAGTTTATCCCAAGCAGCCAATCGGCAGTGGTAGCAAGCGAGTAGGAACTTGGAGAAAATGGTTTGGTTTTAGTATGGTGAGGCCCCAACCATACAAAGATCGGTTCATTTCTATTTTCTGCTCCCAACCGTCGCAGCCTCAGATGCCGCCCGCTACCGGCACGGCGCTGTCCTCGCCCCCAACGACATGAGCAGGCGCGTTCTACGTCCCTCGCTCGCCTCGTCCTCCACGCGACGCTCGCCTCAACCAACGAGCTCTCGCCATGTCCTGCCCACGCGCCCAGCTCGTCCACAGCGCGCTCAGCTCGTCGCGCCCTCGCACAGCTGCCTCGTTTTCGACCCGCGCGGCTAGTTCTCCAGGTCGGCGGCTTGTCGGCGGCGCGCTCGGCTCGTCCTCCAGACCGCCGCCTCGTTCATTTTCGTGCCGCGTCGGGAGCCCACGACCCCGCTGCGACACCACGCGCCGGCGTGCCTGCTCAAGGACCGCTGCGGGTCGCTGCTCACCGCGCCGGGTGCTGTGGCAAAAACGATGGCGGCAACGGCCTCTACTGCTCGATGTACGACATGCCACGCGGCGCCTCGACCCGTCCGATGCGACGAAGCGTGTGCCCGGTGGCCACTCCGTACAAGTAAGATAAAGCAACAAAGGTTCAACTTCATGTTTGAGTATAATTGGCAATGTGTATGGAGCCGCGAAGCATGTCTCGTGTACGCAGAGAGCGCGCTTGTTTGAGCCATGCGAAGCAGCTCCGCGGTTGCGGCGACTGCGATCTGTCGTTGGCATTCGGCACCCGCAATACATCTGTCTACGCAGTCCAGCGGCCTATTCGCGGAGAGCACTATGTGATACCCGAGTAGGGCCTCCGTTGGCAACCGTAAGCTGCCTCAGCAGCAGCGGCACAGCGCGATCTCGCGCCCTGGAGCGCCCCGACGCAATAGAATGCGAGACCCGACCCTTTCGCAATCGATCGGCGGGGTCTGTATTTCTTTTTAGAGGTTATAAAGTTTCAATCAAGCAAGCAGCTTTTGGCCTACTCGCCCATTCCAAGTGCGCATTCCCCACCGATCCCTGTATACGAGTGCACGCCGCATGCTGCTAACCCCAGCCCTACAATGGGTGCTGGTGACTCAAAGAAGACGGGTGCAGCACAGCTGGGTGCAGCAACTTGCGCCCGTCTTCGATTCATAGACCTAAACATTTCTATTGGTCAAGGTTGTCAACTATAGTGTGAACCGTTTTCTCGGCACAACGTCTTACTGCACAGCTCAGCTCCATATCGTGAACCTTCGAGAGCCACGAAATGCTCTACGGTAGAAGCCAAGTCCAGAAGCTCCAGAAGCTCCTCCGGAGGTTCTCTCATCGCGTGTTCGTGGCGCAAACATAAGGGAATCTACGGTTAACTCCCTCAATGAACACGTTCCAAGCACGTTCCTGAGTGTCGATACTTGCATACGGTGCTTCCCAAATGGCACTCCTCGGCTCCCTCTCGGCACGACTATGAACATCGCGGGCGCTTCGTCTTGCGTACCGCACGCTTCAGAAAAGCCCGTACCACGTGCACAACCATGACCCTGTCGGACGTCGAGGGGACATGTCCGGGCACGTTTTTAGTGGGTGCGGTCTGTTCTGCGAGCCTTTCGTCGGTGGTCCAGTGGCTGGAAATCGACACCGCCCTTCACCCGCGTGTTGACGAAACACCCAGCTGTCCACGCAGCTTGCCGTTGGTGCTGACACGTATCCCACTGAGGGGTTTATCTTGGTTAAAGTATGGTCGTGCCATCGATATCGACAGCCTCGACGGCAGCAATCAGATTGCACTTGGCCTTTCTGAACGGCCACGACAGCGAATCGGAAGCGACTTTACGGTATAAAACGATAAGCTCTCGCAGGTTTTGCGACGGTTTCCCGTCACAATTAATATACATTGGCCGTTTGACGGCGGGACAACCGCGTTTGGAAATTTTTCGCATTTCCCGATTTGAACTTTTGGATGGATCCGTTCAAGCTCACTCCCGTCGCGCCCGGCGCCTCTAGCTTCTTTCCTACGCCAACCGAGATCTCGGGTGGCGTCCGATGGCTCCGGGACCACCCTGTCATGGCCGCTGCCACCTGCGCCGCCGCCACCGCCTTTTCAATGGCAGCCTACTTGGCCATGCAAGCCAAAGAGCCTGTGCGATTGCTCCACGTGGCGCCCAGCGCCGAGCTCTTCCCGGCCAAGCCGACCGTCTCGCCGTCCGACAAAGCCACCGAGCAGGACAGCACATTCGACTTTAGTGACTACAGCGAGCTTCGTCACCACCGGC